ATTGTTTTTCTAATTTCTTTGAAATGTCTTTCCATATTCTTTTGTATTTCATTGATTTTTTGCTTAAAGTTATTATTTATAATTCTCCAGGTACTTCATTATTTTGCTTTGGGGCCTGTTGCTAGAGGGTTATTGTGTTCATATGAACATGTCATATTATCTTTCTTTTTCATGCTTTTGGCTACCTATATGGATATCTGTACAACTGGCAAATCAGTTGCCTTTATTAATTTTATAGGATGGTTGTCACAGTAAAAGACATCCTGGTGACGTGCTGTAGGATGTCGGTTGGGTTGGCTATATTAGATTTGGCTTTAGTTGTATACCATAGTGTGATTTCTGTACAGCTGCTTCAGCTGTACCCAACGTCAGTGATGATTACAAATATCTCAGTGGCCTAGAGTGTAAGGGTTTGTATGATCACTCCACCAGTTGGGCTACAACTCTCTCAGGCAATCTGCATTTATAGGCATCCCTAGGTGTAGTACCAGAAAGTTGTGAGCACAGATAACTGATAGTTACCCTCCTAGCTTATGCTGCCTATGGATTTTTGTCAAAGTCCAGAAGGTTGGGAAAATCTCGCATGGGAGAGGAGAAAGAACAGTTCCTCTGGGACACAACTTGGATGAATAAGAAGGATAAATCTTCAGAATGGTTTATGGCTAATGTCCCTGAATATTGATCACTATCAATCAATAAAAGTCATTCAGAATCATGAAATTTTCACCCTCAATTTCTTTACAAAGTAAAAGGAGATTTTTTGTATGTTAAAAAATTGTCAATTGTCCATAAATTTTTTATAGACCATGCTCAGCACACACGGTATTTTTTTAATTTACTTGGATAAAACAATTATCAAATTAATTATAAATCTTCATACTTATGAAGAAAAAGAAATTGTATTTCAAGTCCATAATCTATGACAGATTCATTTTCTATGTATGTTCTCAATTTACACCAGCCAAATCACTTCAATTAGTGCTTTCCAGGGGCAGTACTTGCTAGAGAAAATTCATATAACTGAGCCACTTGATGAAGTCATGATTCTCTTAAATAATTAGAGAATAAGTCCTTGCTCTGAACTCAAGAGAAAACCAAAATGTTTATTTTAGAAATTGCCACTGGGGGTTCATCATTAGTCCACATCTAATATATATGTTTCCTTTCTTCCTTTTTAGAAATTGTTTATTTTTCCAATAATTTTTTACTGGGGACAAAAAAGAAGAAAGATATGGTCAGAAATGTCCTATGTCTACATGTTTTAGAAAGGCCACTCCTCATCAAGAATTGGTAAGTTTAAACTGCAGAGCTAACAATAAACTAGAATTATGTATTTTAAGAAAAGAAATTGGGCATAAAGCTTGTAACCAAATGGATACCACACTCTGATCATGAGAATAAAAATTAAAAAGAAATTTATCAGTTAGAATCTGGACAATGCATCCAATTACTGTAAGAAGCAGAAAAGCATTTTGTGGTAAGTACTACTTACATTATTGATCCCACGGTTCATATTTGTACTTAGAACTTAAATTTTGGAATTTAAATTTAGATTAGTTTAATCCATAGAAGACAAAAGAAGATATAAGTTAAAATAATGGAAATCTAAGTTCTTCCTTAGATATTTGTGACAAATCTGATACTTAATCTAATAAAATCTCAGATCAAGAAAATTGAGAAACATTTATTTTGCTTTAGTATTATCTACATTTTTATTTTTCTTCATTGAACATTTATTTTAATTAAGAAATCATCCACGGAATGTCAGATAAAATAAATGATTATCTTAATCTGTTTTTATTTTCTCTCAATTCTGTACTGATTTTCTTGATTGCAGTCATATAACGTTTTAGTCAATACAAATGTTTAATCATATGGCTACTATACTCATTTGACAGCATTTGAATACAAGAACTAATCCCATTTTCCTAGATTCACTGGTACTTTTTACCTATCTCAAAAATAGATATTTCGCTACTTCATTTATGCTATCAATATATGAGAACAAAGACCGTGCACTTTCAGTGTAGAGCTTTTCTTCTGTTAAAGGTTCAATGGTATTATTTTAGTAAGGAAAATATTTTGTGATTACTTTTCAGCATCTTTGATTTTTCACTTTCCCAAAATTTTTAGTGATAAACAAATATTACCCCTGGATTATCTTATTCACTTATGACTTAGTAGTTTCATGAGTAGGAAATATAATAAAATTCAGAATTAATGGAAGCCATGCTGTTCTTATTCTTATAAAAAGGAAAACTATCCATTACATATTACCATACCTACTAACTGTGCTACTTAGTGCTTCTGTGGAAATATATTAGTTATTGAACAAACATACACAGCATTGGACATCCCATTTATTTTTCCCCTAAGCCACAGTTGAAAGGAATGCAGGATTTTTCATTTTTAACTGCATGAAAAGGACTGGAAAATCTGGGCCTTTCATCTCATGATAGGCCACCCTAAGACATAGTTCCTGATGAAACAAAACTAAGCACTGCCTGATCCAATTTTATGCAATTTTATTTCATCATGTCATGCCTTTTTTATGCATTATTACTTGTGTTGAATGTCCTACTGAAAATATAAATTTTCTATTTTTCCTGCTTTCAGTTAGGAAGGTCAGCATTTCCTATTCTAAGTTACTTTTACGTGTTACTGAGTAAAATGTGCATATACTTTCAAAAATATTTAATCTTTATAATATTTAAATTTGCCATAATGAATGAATTTTATCAGATTTCAGTTCAATAATCTATAATTAGATTAGACATAATATTTTTAAGTATACTTACAAAATATATTCATTAAATACTTATAAATTTGCATATGAAGTATATTTTTAAAATAAAAATAATGTATAAATATTTAAGTTTATAAAAAATTTTAATACAAAGTAATAAATACAGTTTTGGCTCATAATTCTTCTATTTTATATAGAAATCTAAAAAATTTCTATTGTGAGTCTTCTTGAGATTTTCTCCTGTTAGTATTTTGAGATTTGGGACTATATTTTACAATTTCATAATTGGCCTGAGGACTCAACGATTGCAAGAGTGAGCATACCAATGATGATGAAAATATTTCTTTATAAAGTTGACTTCTAGAGAATTGTCACTGTACTAAAAAAAATAGGACAATATTCCACACAAAAAATTCTTTACAGGGCTGGGAATTTAGCTCAGTGGCACTGCACCTGCCTAGCAAGTGCAAGGTCCTGAGTTTGATCCCCAGTACCAGAAAAAAATATATTCTTTACAGTCTTCCATAGTGAAATGCCTCTGTGGTCCTTATTAGTTTGAATATCCTTATAAACATGAGAAAAAGAGATTAATTCAAAAAATATATCATCAATTCACATACATAGCACTTATAAATGTTCAATAAAATACACAAATATATTCACTGTGCAGTACCCATTAAAGATCCTTAATTATTTATGAGGCTAAACAATTGGTATTATTTTATCTATTTATTTTTTTTGTACCGGGGATTGAACTCGGGTCCTTGCGCTTGCAAGGCAGGCGGCGGAACCACTGAGTGAAATCCCTGGCCCCGGTATTATTTTATTTTTACAGAATAATATATCAATATTCATAAGGGTTAAGAGTATATTTCCCTTGTTAATTCTGAGCCCAAGAGCAGAATTAAAACTTTACTTCTGCAGATGTTATTATTCAGACATTTGGATGAAACAGTATCTTCTGAATATTTTACCAAGTATTGAATCAAAAAACTCAGTCAGAATATGTAGATTACTCCCTTCTGTTCTGGTGCTCCATACCAGAACAGAACACAAGCATGTGCATTTGCATTGCTATGTGTCTGTTTGTGTCTATGTCTGTGTTGTGTGTGTGGTATCACTAGTACTATAGCTCAAAAAAAAAGGAAATCTAAGACCAGAAGAAGATCAAAGTCACCAATAAAAGCAAGTTAGAAGTAAGCCCACAGTGTCAGTGCAATGTATGAAAAGATCCAAAGTGCAAATGGAGGAAGGAAGAATCAGAGAATTAGTGCAGAGCTAGTCTGCAGAGACGTAAAACATCAGAGTAAAGCACTGCTACAAAGAAGAAAGGAGCAGTATTGAGGAGCCAAGGAAACAAATACAGTTTTAAAATGCTTAGATTTAGTTAGTTTAGATAGACAAACTATATCTAAATAGAGAACACAAAACACTAAGAAAGGAAGAGCTCAGGAGTTCAGCAACAATAGGTTCAGGAAAATAAACAGGAGTGGTCAGGACAAGTCAAGACTTTTCTCAGAAACAAAGTGTGAATCAGAACAGTATTCCAAAAGATAAAAATGGAGATCTGAACAAGAAGAAATACTTATGTTACTATCCACAAGCTTCCTAGGAGAATGATGTAGCTCTAAGTTGTAGAGAAGCCTGTAAGAAGGATAGCAGACTATAGCCTGTTTAAATATTCAAGAGTGAGTGAAGTTACTGGACTATTCTTTATGGTGAATGGGAAAATGAGAATATAGCACTGCTGATAAGAGAAAGCACCATAATATAATTTACTGAGTTGTGTACATAATTAAACTCACATATACATATCTGAATATTTCATAATAGATAACTGGAAAGGTGAATACTAAGCATCATGAAGTGCATACTAACTATCACAATGTATTCTTACCAATTTCAGCTCACTCATTTGACTAAATAGCCACTTGAGTTATTTTGCTTATTGGGTATATTGAACTCCTGAACTCATGATGAAAACAACAAATGTATACAGAGACAAAATCTATATCTGAAAACCAGATGTAAAGAATTTTATGATACATTTTTCATACTCTGTGTCTTTCTTCCTGAAAAGAAATTCAATAATGTCAATGTCACTTGTATTAATCATTAAAATGTACTTTTTAATAAATGTCTATTTTATCTCTTTCTATTCTTCCTCCATATGTCCATACCCTCAAAGTCTCCAGACATGAACACTTTTTGCACTTTATCTCTACCTTAAAGACTTTGGGGAACTCCCTCACGGATGGATATGAAGAACAGCTCAATGATATCTGAGTTTGTTTTGTTAGGAATCAGCAGCAGTTGGGCACTTGAAATTTTCTTCTTTTTCATGTTTTTGTTGGCCTATGCAGCAATCATGGCAGGAAATCTTCTCATTGTGATCACTGTAACTTTTGACTCTCACCTTCATTCCACACCAATGTATTTCCTCCTTGGAAATCTCTCCTTTCTTGATATGTCTCTTTCCACCATCACAACCCCTCAGATGATCATCGATTTCCTGAGGGAAAACAAAACTATTACCTTGTGGGGCTGTATGGCTCAGATGTTCTTCCTCCACTTCTTAGGGGGCAGTGAGATGACTCTGCTCCTAGTCATGGCTGTGGATCGCTATGTTGCAATATGCAAACCTCTGCATTACACAGCCATCATGAACCGCAGGGTGCTCCTCTGCTCTGTGCTGCTGTCATGGGCGGTTGGCTTTGTGCACACCATGAGCCAGATGGTTTTCATGGTCACTTTGCCCTTCTGTGGCCCCAATGTGGTGGACAACATATTTTGTGACCTTCCCCTAGTGCTCAAGCTTGCCTGCACTGAGACCTACGTGCTGGAGTTGCTGGTAATCGCTGACAGTGGACTTCTGTCTTTCATCTGCTTCGTGCTCTTGCTCATTTCCTACACTGTCATTCTGGTGACTGTGCGACGTCAGTCCTCAGGTGGACTCTCCAAGGCGCTGTCCACACTGTCTGCTCATATCACAGTGGTCACTCTGTTCTTCGGCCCATGCATCTTCATTTATGCCTGGCCATTTAGTAGCTTTTCAGTGGATAAATTTCTTTCTGTGTTTTATTCTGTTATCACTCCCTTGCTGAACCCTATTATTTACACTCTGAGGAATCAGGAGATGAAATCAGCCATGAAACGACTGAGGATTCAGCACATCAGCTCCAGATAGATCTAGATAACTTTTATCAAGATGAAGAGTTTTTATTTTCACTCAGATTTAGTTTTAAAGGATGATGTGTTTAGTAAATGTCACCTTATTTCCTTCCTTTTAACTATTACTGTGTCTTCCATTTTATGCTAAAATCTAGTTAAATATCCTTCTTGGGAAGACATTCACAATCTTTCCAATTTTGTCTGTTATAAATGGTTCATTTAAGCATACATACATACAAGGTGTAATCAAAATATATGCTGACTATTTAATTTTTTTAAAATGTATTACAATAAAAGACACATTGCCATTAATCCTACTCAGAAAACACCCCTTGCTTCATATACACTTCCCATCATTCTTTTTAACTTTACCTGTTCTGGAACTCCTCTTTAATGGTTCTCTTTACAATGTGTGATGACAAATATGGTGAATGCTGTTGTCTATGCCATCCAATGGAATGGGCAGGTTTGAAAAAACATTATGGTGAACCCTCATCCACCTTATTCACTGGATGTGGTATTGTGTGTTCAACTTTTGGCTCTTCCTCATATGAAACTGACCACAAAAAGTAAAAGTTTTGAATCAATTCATGACATCAAGGCTGCCAGAACAGCAGAACTAAAGACAATCACTTGAATTTATTTTTAATTGGTTATAAACAATCATCCAAATATCATTTACTGAATAGCATTTCCTATGGATTATAATGTCATCTTTGCACGTATCAAGTATTCATATATTCCTTGGTCTGTTTGTTCCACTGAGCATTTAGTCTCGCTCAGACAGTACTGCACTATCTTTAGTGTCATTTTTTGTTCATTTTTCAAATTTTGTTGTGTTTTAAATGACAAGTTTTATTCCTGTCTGAGTAGATTTTGTCACTCATGGTTGTCTTATAAGTTGAATCCTTGCAGAATGTTAACACATAATAATTATAAAATTTCATGGAAAAAACTTGAGATCAAGGGCAGCATGATATTTTAGCATAGCAATCATGATGACATTAGTATTTTAGAACTATTAATTTTTATTATCTCTGAGACATTTAAATGTTCATCTTAATGTACAATAAACTTTTTGTCAGTTATATACATCTAATTACAAAATATTAAGTGACATAAGAAAACTTTAACCTAATTTGTTATTTTTAATCATTTTCTGCTACCAGAGTAACATGTAAGTAAAATGTAACTGTTTATAAATGTACTTTATAGGTTATTTATAGGTTATTAAATGCTAACCTTTTAATTTCTAGAGAGTCATTGCCTAGACTGCACAGTGTCTAGATATCTTCAACTGTTATAACATAATTACATAACATTCACATAAACACCGGCATGAAAATGTATTCACATCATCTGGTTGGCTATATCATGTTAGATTTGCACTCTTTACTTTCCATTTACCACAGCTAAAGAACACATTCAAAATATTTCACATTTAAATGACCATAGTTCTTGTTAATGAACTCTTCCAATTAATTTTAGTATTAGTTATCAAATTTTACAAAAACAAATGTAGGATATCAGTTGAAATTGGATGTAATTTATAAATTAAATTTTGCAAAAAAACTATGATTTTGATTATTTAATGTATGAACTTAGTATATTTAATTATACTTTCTTTGATAAAATTTAGCTATCTAATAATTTTTTGATTCATTAGCAGGCATCATATTTTGTTTTTATGGTGTTATAATGAGAGAACTTTCTATTGGATTAGATTTTAGTAGATTATCTTTGTTATATTAAAACACAGTACATTTTTATATATTGAATGTATATGTAGAAAATTTGTTAAAATTGCATCTATCTTATCATTACCATTATTTTAATAATAATTAAAGTAATTTTTCAATAAATGAAGCCCGAAATAATAAATGGTAGTGAGGGTGTGGAGGAAGGAGAATCCTTGAATCCTGTTAGTGGGTATGTCTTTAGTTTCATCATCATATCTACCTCAATGTCCCAAATCAATTCAAAATGTTTACCTTTTTTTTCATTAATTTTATTGGTACATTTCAGGTATATATTATGCTGACATTCATTATGGGGAATTTGTACCTTTACATAATATATCCTGGTTCTTATTTTTTCCCCATTCCCCTACCCTCCCTTCAACCCCACCACCCTTCCCTATTTATGAAGAATTTGTTTCCATTTTTTTCCTTTTCTCATATTTATTCCATTCCTTTCTTTCCTTTCCCCTACCCTTTCCATTTCTCCTTCTCCTTTGGGCCTTTTCTTCTTATTTTACATCACCTATTGTCATTTTGATCCTTATTTATACTTTCAGTTTCTCACACCAGAGAAACTATCAGTATTTACATGTGTGTCCTATTTATTTCACTTAAGAGTATAACCTCAGTATGCAACCATTTAGCAATAAATATCTCTAGTTTCTCATTCTTTAAGGCTGAGTAGTACTCCAGCAAAATGTTTACCTTTTATGGGACATTTTGACTTTGAGGAAGACCCACAAGATGCATGGTATCAGATCCAGTGAATAAGGTGGATCAGACACACTGTTTTTATGAGCCTACCTTTCCTTTGGTGGTACTTGACAGTATATTCACCATATGTTTTATTACAGCTTATAAAAATTTTTAAAAGATTTTCAAACATGAAAAAAGACTTCCAGAAATGCTTCAGAAAATGTCACAAGTGATGGAGTGTGTCAAAAGAAAGACCGAGTATGTTCAGGGGGGTTGATGGCCATGTGCTTTTATTCTAATATTTTTTAAAATTTAAATATTCAGCAATATTTTGATCAGCCCTTGAAAGTTTTATGATCATTATGGAAAACTATACAGATGTTCCTCAAAAAAATAAAAATAAAACTATCATATAACCCAGAAAACCTACTCCTGTGCATATTAAAAGGAAATGAAATCATTATGATGATGAAATAACTGCAATAAAACTGAACAGTGCTTTCAGATGCATACACACTAAACAGAACCTTAAACATCTGGAAAATAACTGGAGGTTGTATAACAAATCAAGAAACATCTATTCCAGAAAAATTTCCCAGGTTGGAATAAAAGTGGAAGTCTGTATCTTATTAATGTGAGGTGTTTTGTTCCCCAGTGTTTGCTAAGAGCTCTTTATTTCACTGGCAGCCTAGCACATAGGAACAAGCATTTCCCATTACCACTCATTATCCTGCCATTTCTCAGTTCTGCCACTGCTACACAGAGGTTTTATTTTCAGGTAGGACCAAAACAAGATATCATGACTGATGCTTTGCACTCCCCATTCTGGCTTTGGTACCAGGTTGTGGAGGTTTGCGCAAGTGACCTTGGCATACAGGATGTTCTGGTACCTCTGATTTTGCCAGGTGGAGCTGACTTTATTTGGAAAACAATACGTAAAATATAAGTTCAGGAGCTATTGTGAATATAATGGTCACAGTTTTAATGTGAGTGATGATCTTAAAAATAAAAATATTTTAAAGGAATAGTGTGAGAAATTATATGTGAAGTATTTCTAAAATGTATATAAAATGTGTAATGCTATAAAAACACAGAAGAAAGATTAATTCTGGAAAGAAATATAATGAGTAAAATTTTTGAATTTGTAATTTTGAAAACGTCTATAAGTAAACCAAGTCCTAATGGCTTTTCTGAAAATAACTACCAAATATTTAAAGAAGAAAGAATATTTGTTCTTCACAAACTTTTCTAGAAGTATGAAAACCAGAAAGATTTGCCATACAATTCTATGAGAATAATTCTACCCTGATCCCAAAGCCAGACATTACAAAGTAAGAAGACTATTGAACAATAATTTTATTGGAAATAGACCCAAATATAAAACTACCTACAAATATTCATTTTAAACATAAAGACACAAATTGGCCAAAACAAAAGAATATAAAAATATAAAGTTAAAGTATAGACACTTCCTAATTTTAAAACATAATTGTCATGAATGGTACAATAGTAAAGACATGCATTGCTGAAAGAATGGACAAATGGATCAATGGAACAAATAGCTACCATAATTAGACATGTACAAATGTTGATCACTGGTTCTTTACCAAAGCGCAAAAGCAATACAAAAGAGCAAAAGATGATTGGCATATTTTGAACCATCCTTGTATTTCTGAGATGAAACCTGCTAGGTAATGATGTTTGATCTTTTAGATGATGTATTATAGTCTATTCACTACTATCTTGTTAAAGATTTTTGCATCAATGTTCATTAAGAAGATTGGCCTGTAATTTTCTTTTTCAGTTGAGTCTTTATCTGCTTTTGGAATCATAATAATGTTGGCTTCCATAAATTTGGAAGCACTCCATTCCTTTCAACTTCTTTGAGGAGCTTGAAAAATATTGGTGATACAAAATTCTTATTGGCTGATAAAATTTGGCAGTGAATCCAGCAGGTCCTGAGCTTTTTTGGTTGGTTGGTTTTTCATTACTGTTTTAATTTCATTGCTTATTATTGGGGTCTTCAGCATTTTCTCTCTTCCTGGGTTAGCTTTTGCATGAGTCTGGGAATCTGTTTAATTCTTCAAGATATTCCAACTAATTGAAGTATGATTTTTCACAGTACTTACTAACAATCTAGCCAAACTTACCAAGAGAAAGAGAAAAAAGATTCACATCAACACAATTAGATATGAATAGGGCAAAATTACAACAGATAACACTGACATCCAGAAGGCTCTTACTCATACGCCAATGGGAATCCAAAATATGACCATTTTGGAAGGCAAATAGAGATTTCTTACAAAACTAAACTTTCTAATCAATCTAGTGAATATGCTTCATTTTTCATACCCAAGTATTCAGAAAACCTAGGTCCATAGAAAAACCTGAACTTTGATATATACAGCAGGCTTCTTCCTAATTGCCATAAAGTAGAAGCAAAAAAAAGTCACTGTGTGTGAATAAATAAACTGGTACATTCAAAAAAGGAGTATTATTCAGCCATAAAAATAAGCAAGACAGAGAATAGGAAACCGAAATTAGTAAGCCAAAATGCCAAACTGAAAAAGCTACCATTAGTATGATTCCAAATGTATTAATGAAAAGACCATTCTTAGAAAGATCACTAGGTTGGAGAGAACAATGAATAGACAGAGCAAAAAGAATTATTTAGGGCATTAAAACTATTTGTTATAATGATGGATAAATGTGATTTACATTTGTCCAAATCCATAGAGTATACAAAACCAAAAGTGAAACTTTTGTCAACTGTACACTTTGAGTGGCAAGGATATGTCAATGAAAGTTCTTCTATGGTAACAAGTGCCCCACTCAGGTGTGGGATGTTGATAGTAGACAGTTAGTGCATGTTTGTGAGAAGAGTTAAAGGAAATTCTGCACTTTTAACTCAAGTTTGCTGAGAACATATAACTTCTGTAAAAAGGAGGTTTAATATTTTCCAATAATAGGATGTAAAACTGTATAAGAAAACAGACTTGTTGGAGAGGGAAAGGGATTGAGGGCACAATAATGTTCCTAGGGGTTAAAGAGATCAAAAAGGAGATTAGACAAGTTCTCTATCTTGGATGTAGTGATCTTTTTATGACTATATACATCTATCAACATGTATCAAATATGGGCAGCTTACTTTACTTGCACCACAATGAGATCAAATTAAAATCTAAAATTTCAAATATAGTAAATGTATTTTAAACTAATATCAATGATTTCTAAAAATAAAGATATCTTAGTAATTTAATATCCAATGCATTACTGATCCGCACCTCACTTAATGACGGATAATATAGTAACAAATCAGTCAGCTGACAAAAATTACCTGTCTTTTTGCACAACCAGTGCATTCATTAGGGCACTCTATCCAATTCAGGGATTTTTGTAATAAGCATCTAACATATCAAACAAGCTATACTTTGTCTTGCAACAGAAACTAAAACATGAGGTGAACCTAATATTTAGGTCAGAATCAATTTAGAGATCAATATTGCATAATATGCTACCTCAATTCTTACCATCAGATGAGGAATCATTTTTAAATCACTAATCTTTAATGTCGGATTGAATTACATGAGATTTTTTTTCCTTCCTGTTCTGACTTAGAAAATAGTTAAATAATAAAGATGTTCCCACGAGATGTCCGAGAAAAATTATTTCCATGTACTCTTCTGTTACATTTTGTTCAATAGAACAAGAAAATTAAACCCAAGGGATTGCTTCACATAGCGAATGTGTATGTCAGACTGAAGAAAAGCACTTCCACAGATACTGTTTCCACCCGATGTGGATGGCATCTCAAGCACACAACAAAAGAATAGATTAAAAGAGAATCAGATTTAGCAGAAACAAACTGCTTAGTAAGTCATCTCTACTATCTCATTCTCTTCTATAACATAATTACTAAAATATATCTATGATTCTGTTTCATGCATGCTCACTATGATTGGAGATGAGAATGACTTGTTTAGCTTCTGACGTTTTCAGAAAACAATTCATACAATTTCTCCATCTCATTCCTTTTTGTGCCTGGAATTTCTGTGACCTTACTAACAGTGAGCACTGAACCCACTTTCAAAATCCACTGCCTCAGTGATGCTTTTAAGTCAGCACAGCATTGAAGAAAACTTCTGAAAAAGAGAAGGAAGTAATAAAGCTTACCTATTGATAGAGAAATGATCCCCAAGGAAACAAAGTTAAACTCAAGTAAAAGGAAGGCATCACACATTAGCTGAAGGATCTTGGATTTCCCCCCTTATGCATCACTGGACTGTTTACCTCAGACAATTGCAGTAAATTCTATTATCTACTCTTCTCTTTTTTAAAAAGCATCTCAAAAGATTTTAAAGTTAAAAATCACAGAAAAAATATATTTGAAGTATGTTATATACAAAAATCTAAAACACTGTGGTTTATTCTCATATTCCTAAAAGAATGACAGAATTTGTCTCTTTTCTTAAGTTTTTGATATACCAATCCCCACAATGAATGTTACCACTATTATTATAAGCATTTTTCTTCTGTTACTGGTAAGAATTCCAAAGGTGCTATAATAGTATATCCTATTTTTCATTGTAGGACCTTTTAAACTGTTAATAATGACCCTAGGAAAGGAAGGGTAAGGAGTGAAAGCTTCATTTAGTTTCTGGGAAACAGCATATCTGACATGTTCATCTCAATTATATGTATGTATACACATATCTTTGTATATATACATAGATATGTATACACATATCTTTGTATATATACATAGATATGTATACACATATCTTTGTATATATACATAGATATGTATACACATATCTTTGTATATATACATATATATGTATATTAACATGTATGTTAATTTAGAGAAAATGTAAGTAGTAGGTATTTTAGAGAAAGTTTGTAATATCCCTTGCTTACAGAAAGCACTCTATTGTACAATAAAAATGTTGTCAATGAGCTTTAGAAACTCTATGGTTAAAGATCAACTTAGTGAATAGAATGGGGAAATATTCACTAACATTCACGAAGGGCTTAGAAGAGTTTACATGTTTTGTATGCTTTGGTTCTTCATCAGAGTGCATCCTTTTTACAGATGAAGAAAAGCAAGCAGAGATAGGGTTAGCTGAACCTCACAAGGACAGTAAGTATTAGAGAAAGATTTCAAATTGCATTTGACTAATGAGTCTGGTTACTTCACTAATTCATGTAAATATTGAGAGTAATATCATTAGTCTATTAAGAATAACAAATATTAGCACCTTCAAAACTCATGAAAAAGGCAGCATGTTTTCTCACTGGTGAACCTTTCCCTGAAAATGTACATATTCATCTTTTAGGAAATTCCTCTCTCAGGTAAAGTTAGAATCCTGTTTTGCTATTAGCTATGTTCCCTCTCTCCTGAGAAAGTTTCTAGTATTAAGAAAAATTTTTTCTATATTTAAGATTTTTGAGAAACAGCTCAGAATTGCATGTTTTAAGAGATCGTGAATTTACTGAGGGTAACTTCAAAGTATTGTCCTTGGAAATTTGGTAAATCTCCTCTATTATGGGACATTTATGAAATCAATAGTAAGAGTATTACTAGTCTTTTCCAAAACAAACACATACATTAACCCATTTCTTTAGAAGAATTTTCTTTCATCCCACCTATAATTTATGATTTTGAGTTTTTGTATATGGAAAATGGAAAACAATGCAAGCAAGGTGAGAGTTCTCATTGTTCACCTGCTGTCCTTGGTACCACCGTGGAAATTTCAGAGTATACAAGAAGATAGAACACACAAAATTGGAAACACTGCCAAGAGGAATGTTAAAAGAGAAAAGAAATGGGTAGTTATTTTTCTACCATTCACCTGGAGGAGAATTTTGAATTCACATACAGGTCATTATAAATAAGGTCATTATTACATCTAGAAAACTGTGTCCACCAAATTTTTACCTCATTTTTACTCAACACAAACATTCAAAGATGTTTATGTTTATAAATATGATATAAACATATTTATAAATATTTATAATCTTCAATATAATTTAATCTCTAGATTGAGAATAGTTATATAGGTAAGTAGATAAGAAAATAAAGTTCATATCCTTATTAGTCAGGAGGTGGTAATGTCTCAAAGCCTAGGTATATATCTTTGTCTATTCGTATAATTGAATAAATATTTTCTATTGTAAACTTGATTTATGTGGAATTTTTATTCAAAACTCAAGTCAATATAAATTTAAATTACCTTAAGATAAACTTTAGTTTATCTCTCTCCAATTTTTATTAGTGCACATTTGTTTGTTATATTGAGTTTACTAAATGATTTCTATAATATTCTAGATTTTAATCAGTGAAATGTGATATGCCTGGTTTTACACCAAGTCATTTCAGGAAATTTATTATATGGCTTTTAATATGACTTCTTTCCTAAAGATTCTCCTGATATATATTTTAGAGGGTTAGGCTAAAATTTTAGTTTTGTGATTTCTTACAGGCAGGGTCATTAGATGTTTGAGCAATTTTTATATAAACTAAAGTTATATCACATTTTTCATATTGGAATTCAATATTAGTTCACATTCACATTCCTAAGTACATGAATTAATATTTTTATTTAGTGTAATGATGGTTAGTTGAGCCTCACCTGGATTTTTTTTTACTGAACTAGTGGACTGGAGCTAGATTTCAGGTGACAATGCAATCATCTTTTAGTTTTTCATCTTGCTGTCTTGCTCTCTTCAAGCCTTCCCATAAGAAGAACCTGTTGATTACTTCCACAACAAATAATCCCATCTTATGTTCTGTTTCTTGAAAGTCCCATCTTAGATTCTGCTCATTGAAAGCCAGACTTAATCATGTACGTTCTCTTTGGAGCATAATGCAATGAATAGTTGGTCAATATTTCTCTTCATAGTTACATTTCTCATTATCCTATGTAGATGTTAATTTCAATGAGAATATCAAATTTAAAAAATTAAATACTCTTTCTAATGCTAATAATTAAAATCTTTCCTCTCTCTAGGTTAATCCAGAGGACAAACTGAGTAAAATGGATGGAGGAAATCAATCTATTGTGTCAGAATTTGTGCTCCTGGGACTTGCACACTCATGGAATATGCAGATCCTACTCTTCCTGATATCTTTCATGCTTTATTTGGTGACTGTATCTGGAAATATTCTCATCATGATCTTAGTCATCACTGACTCCCACCTGCATTCTCCCATGTACTTCTTGTTGGCCAATCTGTCTTTTGTTGATATGTTGCTTTCATCTAACACCACTCCTAAGATGATCACAGATTTTCTCAAGGAGAACAAGACTATATCTTTTGGAGGTTGCATGTCCCAGATCTTTTTTTCCCATTTAATTGCAGGTCTTGAGATGGTTCTCTTGGTAGTAATGGCCTATGACCGCTATGTGGCCATTTGCAAACCACTCCATTACTCCACCATCATGAGACTGCAAAGATGCATAGGGTTGGTGGTTACTGCATGGACCACGGGCTTTGTGCATGCCATGAGTCAAATTGTTGTTATTGTGAGGTTGCCTTTCTGTGGTCCCAGGGAAGTTGATAGTTTCTTTTGTGATAGACCACTGGTAATTAAGCTGGCCTGCATGGACTCATATAAGTTGAAAATTTTAATGAACATTGACTGTGGGGTTGTAGCTATCACCTGCTTTATTCTATTGTTGATATCGTACACATATATTCTTGTCACTGTCCTCCAAAGCTCTAAAACTGGTGCATCCAAGGCACTGTCCACCTGCACTGCTCATGCCACAGTTGTGGTGCTCTTCTTTGGGCCCTGTATCTTTATTTATGTGTGGCCACTAAACATCACATGGTTAGACAAGTTTCTTGCCGTGTTTTATTCTGTTATTACACCTCTCCTAAATCCAGCTATTTATACTCTGAGAAATAAAGAGATGAAAAATGCTATTAAGAGATTCAGAAGCTACTACATGGATTCCAAGATAAGTGCTTAATTTTCACACAACTAATGATACTTCATTATCAGAGATTTGTTCAACCAACTAGGCTTTCAAATTTCTTAGATGAGGACCTACAAAGGCATTTGTCTTTCTGCAAACTAGTCCTTTTGAATTAAAAATATGTTTCTAAAACTTTGAAATCTAAATAATATTTATTTTCTTTCTTCCTGAATCAGTAATTGAGTGGGTTGAAATTTAGTTTTAAGAATTAAAAATGAAAGTTTGAAAACAAAAAAGTAACATACTTGTAGTTTTTAGATCTCTTAATATATGACAAACTTTAAATAATGCTCTAAAATGAATGCATATATATTTTATATCTAACTGTATTCTATTATGTCACATATATACATAGAAATATATATATTATATATATACATATATATCCTTAAGTACTTTTATTATCTCTAGTTTTTGAAGGAGTGAATGAGATACTTTATGGCCATATTTTTATTATCCATTCATCTGTTGATGGGCATATACGGTGCTTCCAAAATTTTACTATTATGAATTGTGCTACTATGAACATGAATGTACATGTATCACTGCAATATAATGTCTTTAACTCCTTCAGGAAGAAAGAGTTCTTTCTATTTATAGAATATTTCCTTCTATTTGTAATTTGTTAAGGAATCTCCGTACTGTTTTCCATAATGGTTGTACTAATTTACACCCCTACTGTCAATGTAGAAGGGTTCCTTTTTCCTAACATTCCTGGCAGTATTTATTATTTCATTGTGTTTTTGAAGACAGGCATTTTTACTGAAGTAAGATGAAATGTTGGTGTTGTTTTGGTTTGCATTTTTTAATGGCCATAGTTGCTGAACATTTTTTTCATGTACTTATTGGCCATTTGTACTTTATTTGAGAAGTGTCTATTCAGTTCAATTTTCCATTTTTAATTGAATCTTTTATTTTGGTAAGTGTAATTTTTTTGTTCTTTATACATTCTAGCTATTAGTTCTTTGTCTGAGGACTATTTGTCAAATTTTTCCATATTCTGTAGGTTGTTGTTTCTTCATTCAGTTGTTTTCTTTGCTGTATAGAAATATTTAACTTGCTACTATTGTCCTTATTTAATTTTGGTATTATTTTTTGCACACATGGGGTTCTATTCAAAAAGTTCTTACTTATGCCTATGTCTCCAAAAGTTTTATCTTCCAGCAGATTTAGTGTTTCTGTTTTTATATCTAGGTCTTTAATATATTTTGGTTTGATTTGAATACAAAAGAAGAGATATAGGTCTATACTTTTACCTCTTTGAATTTTAACCTTTTAGTTTATTATATATTTATTTTTTACTTATATTGATGGAATGGTGGTTTATTTGGTTTTTGCTGTGTTTCAGTACCTGGTTTGTCTTACTATAGTTTGTTTTCTTCTCTTTGAGTTGAACTGGTAGTAAGCCTTCAGAAAATTATGCTCTCTAAGGAGATCCTCAAATAAAAGTGAAAGAGAAGTTCATCCAAAATGATTTAAAAATAGCAACAAAGAAATAAAAGAACTTACTCTCCCTTAGGTTCATAACTTCCATAAATAAATCCAAAGATATCTAAGTGGACGAAGTGCCAGACAATGAATTCAAAATATTGATTTAAAAAAGAAAGCTATCCTTCAGAATTAAAGGAGAAATAAAGAATTCCTAAAATAAGTACAAATGAAAGGAATTTATCACCACTAAGCCAGTACTGCAGAACATAGTTAAAGGAATTCTACACACAAAGAGTAATAGCAGATAAGCAAGTTAGAAATAGGAAAAATAAAGCATTAGATATAAAAACTAAATGACAGAAACTAATACATAGCCTCCAATAATAACCTTGATATAAATTATCTCAATTCTCCAGTTAAAAGATGTAAACTAGCAAAGTGAAATAAAAATAGAACAACAAACATTTTGATGCCTATAAGAAACATACTTCATCAACAAAGACATATACAAACTAAAAGTGAATGGATGCAAAATGATATTTCATGATAATCAAACCAAAAGCTAGTAAGACTATACCTACTCACATCAGAAGAAGTAAACTGTAAGGTAAAATGAAGAGAAAAAACAAAGTCACTACATATAGGTAAAGAGAACAACCTACTAAGAAGATAAAATAATTGTAAATTATGTATGCACCAAAAATAAATGCATTCAATTTAATATACCAACCACTACTCAATATAAAAGATGACATAGTCCCAATAGAATGTTAACATGTGATTCTAATACATCACTTATCAATACATAGGTGATCAAGATTAAAAAGTCAAAAAAATGAATTGAACTATGCCATAGAGACAGTGGAATTAACAGGCATCTACCAAACATTTTATTCAACTAATGAAGAATACAGATTCCTTTCAACAGCTTACAGGACTTTTCCAAAAAGAGGTAATATTTTAGTCATGAAGCGAGTCTTAACAAATTGGCACAAAGCAATAGTTTGATAGAAAGGATAAGTTCTGGTATTCCATTGCACAGTTGTGAGACTATAGGAATTAATAATGTTCTATATATTTCAAGATAGTAGAAAAGAGCACAGAAATGTTTTTTTCCATAATAGAATAATAAATATTTTGGAAATGAAAAATTTATCATTCTGTTTATTAATAACATTTTTCAATACATGAAAATATTTTTGTACATAGTTATAACTAGAAACTCAAAAATGAACAGTAAAATAAAAATATGTTAAAACTAATAACTAAATAAATGTTGAAATCCTATAAATTGCAATCTAGTTTGATCATTCATTGTAAATTGCGCACATATATATGACTACACATAATTAGTACTAATGGTCCTCAGCCAAATATTTAATTCTCTCTACCTTGTGTTATAAAGTCAACTCATCTTCTTGGGTACATAAATTCAACCATTTTATCTAGTTACTTTATATTTTAAGTGAAAATTTCAACCTGATATGCTGAATATCTAGGATTCTAAAAGACAACATTAATTAAAGCAATCTTCAGATTCAATTTAATATCCATCAAAATATCAGTAATATTCTTCACAGAACTACAAAATCAATTCATAAGAAAATTCAAAGGAACTTAAATAGTCAAAGTAATTTTGAGTAAAATTCTGAAGTATAACAATACTGTATTTCAAAATATACCATAAAACCACAGTAAGAAAAATATCATGTGGTACTGTCATAAGAACAGTCACATGGATAAGTGGAATAAAATAGAGGACACAGATATAAATCAGTATTGCTACAACCATCTGATTCTTGGCAAAGGGAAATTCCCTGTTGTTTAGCACATATGATTTCCAATTCCTATTATTTTGTTAGGAACTCATTGAGAAAGCACTGGAGAACCTAGAAATAGATGCCAACATAAAAACAACTTGTCCTGTCTATATGTGGTTTCTAAAAGCTCCTGTGGTGGAGGCTGTCTGGCAAGTACTCAAACAAGATATCTACATATCTACACTGTCACAGTCTCTTGATACTTATATTGTAGTCTCTCACCTGAATTATTCCCAGGTTTCTTTGTCACCAAGTTTTAGTTATAAAAAATTGAAGACATATTACAATGATACATATGTGTCCATGTTTTTAGAAACAAGAATCATAATAGCTAAATCTTGGAAGTGGCATATATGTCTATGATAGATAAAGAAAATGTGGTTTCTACACACAATGCAAAACTACTCTGTCATATAGATACACTTAACTCTGGGAAAATGAATGCACCTTGAGACCATTATGTTAAGTGAAAAAAGTCAGACTCACTAGTTTAAATATCACATAATTTCTTTTATATGGGAAACCAAGTTATAAATAAAGAGAAAAAAAGATAATATAAAACAGGGAGATAGATCTTTTGCAAAAGGGAAGGAGACCAAGAGATGAATGGAGGAGAGAGAGGGGTAGAAGGGAATAAAAAATTAAGATATATACGTGTACCAACTCCCCATGATGAATATAATTATTATGTACTCTAAACATGTACTAATAAAAATAAACATAATAAACTTTAATCATTTAAACTATTATTAAGCTTCCATGAAACTTATAGATCAATGAAACAATATAGATCAATGCTTCTAGCCCCCAATTATTTTTAACAATTAAATGTGGCACTTCCATCTCTTCCAAGCTGGACAACTTCTTCCCACTGTTTTGCAATACTGCAGCATATTAAGCATAACAAATTTGATGACAATACTTTATTTAATCTGTATTGTAAATCTGTATCCTTTTATTCCTAGTTGTTTCTAATTGCTGCTCCTAATTTTCTATTATACAAAACTGCCAACATTTCAAGCAATGTACTTAATGGTCAGTCTATTAGTTATATTGAATTTTTCATTTAACCATATGTTTTCACTGAGAGAAAGAAGAAAATTGACCAGAAGTGGTTGATAATGGAGTTGAGTTATAAGTTAATACAACTGTTTTGTGACTGTGCAACTAATAATCCTGATTTCTAATATATCATTTCCATCTGATAATAGAATTATTATTTTGGATCCCAAATTCATGGTTTGAAAATCGATGTTATAATTAATAGCTTAGATCATGTAATCATTGGATGTTACAGTCTATGCGCTTAAAATCTACCAGACCCTACCAAGACAATGACTATTGGACCTCCAGAAAAGTTGTTGAGGTTCCTATGACCCGTTATCTGATTTAGATATAGCTCAAGCCTCAAACATATTTCATTTTCCCTGATCACTTGATCCAGTTAGAATTACTACAGCAAAAATAATTAATGGATATGGTATTTTAAATAAGTATATAATGTTCATGTATATATATATATAATTTAATGTTAATTGTCTGTTAAGGGTTTATATAAGAGATGTATGCCTTCAAGTTAAGAAATATAAGTTGATGGCTACCTCCGTGAGGCAATGACAAGAAATTTTGCTAATTATATTAAATTAATGTCACAAAAAAGCTCTCAAAATAACACAACATAGAAATAGTTGTCAAAAGGAACATACTAATATTCTTACTACTTAATTCCACACCAATAATGTT